GATCCCATGAGTGGTTTTAAATTTGTGTTAGTCTTTATGGTATTTCGATTTCGAGGGTAATAGTTGGGAGTGACTGTATTGATTTGGAAATTTCGTCCACTAGTATAGTTATTATATTGATCGTCCTGATTTTGTCGTGAAGTTGCTCCTCGTGGATGAAATGCATTATTTCTTTTCGCACCTGTACTATCATCTCTATACGACGCTTGTTTCAATTGTTTTGTCAAACGTTCTCCCTTGGCTCGTCGATATAATACATCTTCTATTTGTTGCACTTCATAAATAACTTCTTCTAATGATGCATCACGTCTAACACCTAACATGTTTAATAAATCATTGCGCATTCGACAGAAGAGATGTTTAACGAGGTCGCTTTCACTTTCTTTTGGCTTTTGTTCTCTCCACAACGCGCGAAGACGAACTAAAAATTCGTTGATCGTTTCATTTTCTTTTTGCTTACATTCGTGCCATTCTTGCTCTTGCCGAGCTTTTCGGACAGGCGAATTAAATTGGGCAAGAAACGCTTCTTTGAATTCGCACCATGTTTCTGGACGATTAGGAGAGAAACGCAGTTGGCAATGCCATTCTAAAGCAGAATCTCGGAGAAATTGAGATATGCCCTTGAGTAGTGTGTCACTATCCCATGCATGAACTGATTCGGCATATTCTTCGACGCGAATTAAGAATTGAGTCGGACTTTCATTATGTTTTCCATGAAAAGCAGGAGCAGCGGAAGCGGGTGGTACAATAATTGAATGTCGTATGCCATTCAAGGCTAAAGACTGCGCTGCCGTAGTATGACGCTGTGTTTCGGTTTCTGTAGAATAGGGAATTGTTCCGTACGGACGTCTATTAATGGGGGTCGTTATGTTGTCCGCACCGATCGTCGTTCTTGTATCAACATCTCGCCCTATTGATTGTTGTTCTGATTTGGTTTCTTTTATCTTCATTGTTTGAGGATAAGCATTCATCGTACGGGTTATGGCGTCTAGCTTTTCGAATACTCGGTCCATGTCATTCGTTCTATCAAGTTCTAACTGTTTCAGTTTTATATTGTTTGCCTCTTGATTTGATTCTGTCAGGTTTTGAAGAGAATGCAGACGTTCCATCAAGCTATCTGATAAAGCTTGAATCTGGTTTTTTGTGGTTTCTTCGTTTTGGACACGATAATCTTCAAAGGACTTCACTAAGTCATCAAGTTGTCTTTCCAACGAGGTGATTTTCTGTGTGTTGGCCGTATCATTGTTCACCAGCCTTTGTACGGCATCTTGCATTGTAACTTCAGTCATTATGGATAACTGTTTGAATTTTAGGATAATATAATCTAATTGATCTAAGAGTTGCTCGACTTCCAAGGTGTTAGGTTCTTTCTTCTATTGATTGCTTAATATGCACAGTACGGCTGTTTCTTGTATTTGTAATTATTGTAATATTTCTCCTGCCAGGGTTGCCAAATGTAACAACTTTGTTTGGTTGGATATGTAGTTGGAGAACTTACAACTTCGATTCTTTTGGGGCTTATAAGTTGCTACGAGTTCATCGATGTTTATTTGAATAAAGGAAGAGAGATTCACACATACACACAGAGTTACAACACCATATAATAATATGATAAGGAAATAAGTTCGGTCTGGGATACAATTAACTTGTAGATTGGGTTCAGGATTCAGGTAAAGAGGGCAATATTGGAGGAAATATCTCTGGATATGTGTATGAATTCGTTGACTTGCTCCAACTTCACTTAGTCGACAACTCTCACACGACGACTCTCTCTCACGACGACTCTCTCTCTTCTCTCTATCATCCTTCTTCCTTTTATACTCGCTCTCTGCACATATTCCAGCTGCTTCACGTTATCTAAAGTGGATTCTATTATTCTACGTCTTTCTTCACCTTGAATGAACAAGTTCAATCGAATGGTGCCATAATCGTAAAATGGAAAGTGACCTGATCCAAGGATACCACGCGGCAGCATATGTCAATACGAACCATTGTATAACTCAAGGATTTATGAAATTAAGGGCGGTGACACAAAAGAAACGTCCACGCGATATTGTGAATATAGCCCTTATAGATGTTGGCACACCCCTCTACTTAAACTAGACGCTCTCCTGAGCGTCGCTACGTCCTAATGACACTAAACTAGAAGATTGTAAAAGCAAATTTACAGATTAAAGACTACAGAAATAGTTCAAACAGGAGGTGTCATGTCGTTTCAGTCTTCTCGTTCCAACAGCTGTTTCATGGAAGGCATCGTAATGGTAAGGTTATTTTGAGATTTCATCGTTTTCTTGAATCTAAATATACAGAAAATAAGGACTAACACCACCAAAGTTAGTATTGCTATAAACGTTATTTTAACAATTGACAAAGGGTGATTTTCCCAAACGGATGTGTTGCTAGTTGTTGATGTGGCTGGTGTATTATTTAAAAATTCTATGATTGCATGCAATTCAGATGATATGTATGGAAGTTTTGGCCATTGTGTGTTATTATCCAAAGCTTCTTGTAGATTTATTAGAGTACGATCTTCGGGTATAATTGCTTCTTGATAGATAAGATTAATAGGTGTCCCAATATTGGTTGGACGCTTGGGAATAGTAAACCTGTCACAGGCTAGGATCTTAGAACCATCAGCCCGAATGAGGGCCATTTCCGGTAATGTGATTTGCTCATTATCCGTCGCTGAATGTTGATCTAAGTCTTCAGTAGAAACATAATGGCATTGATTTTTATTGTGCGTTGATATTGCCCAATATGGACCTATTTGACGGATAAACACTTTATCATGAAAAAATTCTATACGACAATGTTGCAACACGGAATCGCTTAAAATTTGGTAAAGACAGTCATCTTCATATTCTTTTCGTTGGGGCGGAGATTCACGACAAAAAGGCATGATTTTGAAATCGCAAGATTTCGCTTCTTCATGAGACCAGTGAATGAACTGTTGCGAAGTTTGTTGAATTCCGATGTAAGCAGGCATCTTAGCTAATAGGACACGACTGTTTCGAAATTTAAATGGTATGGGGAATAATTCATAAACAGAGAATGGTGGTTGGTTTTGATCGGGAGCAGCAAAATAAGACGTGAACATTAATTTGCCGATTTCATTTTTATTAGCCTCCGAGCTTTTAGTTACCGCGGGAGCGAAATCGATTTGTTGACGGACTAATAATCGGGTAATGATCTCAATCGTGGGGATTGACGTATTAAAATCACCCCACGATATATTCATCGCTTGGGAAATTAAGTTAATTACGTTGGGTAAGTCCTGATGATGAACAAAATATAAGTTGAGTTTGTTAACTAAAATATCCTCCATTGATTCATGTATGAAATGTGATTCCATTGCTTGGGTGGCTGTTGCCAATTTATCTCTTAGTAGCATGGTTTGAGAGATTACAGTTTTTAAGGCGGCTGAGTGTAAACGTAATACCTCGGAGTGCTGGTTAACGAGATCTATTGTTTTGTTTAACGCGGTCTGTGTCGCACCCAATTCGTGTACCACTTTAAATTGTCCTTCATTCGTGTGAATGATTTGTGCGTGGTTATCACGAGTGGTGAGTTGCAATGTGCGTAACAGTTGTTTAGTGTGTTTCATCTCTGATTTCAAGTTCATATTTTGAATTAAGTTAACGACGGACAAAGCTGTCGACGCAATACCTGCGCCAATAGCGATAATTTCTGCTATTAAGCGCTTTGCACGAGGTTTGGTTTTTATTGATACGCTTGTTGACCGTGTTGACGTAGAAGGCACAGATTGTTCCACTTCCTGTATATATATCGTGTCTTGGTCTCCTACGACTATTCGGTTTGGGTAAATCCGTGGTTTTTCTTGTTTCGCCGATCGTAAGGGAAGCATTGTTCTATTTAATTCCGCGCGTTCTGGTCTCGTTTGATTGTCGAGTGAGACAACTGACGAATTTCGAGCGAGTTGCACGTTAATTGCTCGAATCTCTCTCATCGTAGCTTCTTTCTCCATACATTGAGGAATCTTTCCCATGGCTACATTTGGAACTAAATAACACATGTCGGAGTACATAGGAATGGTGACAGTAAAAGTAATGATTTTATTCGCAGGTCGAAATTCGGATAAGTATTGCATGACTAATCCGGATTTGGGATGAATAATATCAGTTTTAGGTAACTTAAATTTTATTAATCCATTAGTATAAGTGGTCAACATCATACCAATAAACAGCAGGATGCTAAGGGGAGAAGACATAATAGGCTTTGGTTGTATACTATTGATTTATTCTTCGGTAGTTAATATATAAATCTGTATGTGCATTTATATATCTAAAATGTATGAATTCAATTAAATAATTACATAACTGGGATGTGGGAAGATTTCAATAAACGCGTTGAGATCATTGTTTCAACCATGACATGGGGCATATGACAATACAAATAGAAACTATAAAAATCGTGGTTGAAAAAGTGTCGATGTTCCAACTAATAGATCCCAGGTCAAACATTACGGTCCGGGAACCGTCGGGTGTCTGGTATTCCGGACCTTTCATAAAATAATTTAGTACATATCAGGGCGGAATCGAATTGGTGGACGTCGCGACCGATTCGATGGATAACGATTTGTCACTTGACCTTGTGCGGTGGTGACCATATTGGAGATATTGGGACTTGTTGGACTATTGTGAGACAATACTTGGTTATTGTCCATCAATTGATCCATATGGATGGTTCCTATATTTGATTCCGTTTTCGGTTCATAGTAAATTTTTAAACGGTCTACGTTTGTGGACCCTAGGTTAACGTTGTCACTAAGGCGTTGGACTAGGAATGTTGATGGGTTTAATTGTTCTATTAGTCTGCATGGACCTTGAAAGGAGGGTTGTAACTTGCGTCGAATAGGATTATCTCCGATGTGCGCCGTCGTCGTTGCTACCCAAACCAGATCACCTACTTTGAAAGTTCGAGGTGTCGTATGTTTGTCGTATTTCATCTTTTGGCTCAATTTTTCCACTTCGGAATGTTCACGTGCCGTATTAAACGCATTACGCAAGTTATGTATTAATTGATTTTTGTAGCTATATATTTGTTCGTGATTTTCGGTTATTGTATGAGTTCCGTTAACGGGGTCACCTATTATCATATCGAGTGGGATTCTGGGATCACGTCCGAACATTAAAAATGCTGGGGTTTCTCCAGTAGTTTCATTGACGGATGTACGAATAGCAAATGCCAGTTTCTGTATCTCTTTGTCCCAAGAGTGGGGATGTTCTTGAGAAAAAATAGCGATAAGAGGCTTTAGGGTTCGATTAACACGTTCCGTCATGTTTGTCTGCGGGTGATAGTTTGCGGTTAACTTTCTCTTGATGTGCATTGATCGACAAAATTCTTCAAAGACATTCGAGACAAATTGAGGGCCGTTGTCGGATAAAATATACTTTGGTAGACCATAACGTGCAAAGACTTCGTTTGTTAGGATATCAGCTACGTTCTCCGATGTTGTAGTACGCATTGGAAATGCTTCAATCCAACGGCTGAAATAGTCTACTACTACCAGTAAGAATCGTTTTTGTCTTGCCGTTACTGGGAATGGTCCCATTATATCAATTCCGATTGTGTGCCAGGGTTCGAGTACTTCGTGTAGTTGCATTGGAGCTGCAAGAGGTGTATTGTTGTATTTAAACTTTTGACATTCGTGACATGCAGCTACATAATTGAAGATATCCTTTCTCATTGTTGCCCAATACACTCTAGTTGACAGGCGAAACAGGGTTTTTTGTTGACCAGCATGTCCCCCGGTTGGGTGATCATGAGCCCATTTTAATAGCTTAAGTTGCATGGTACTTGGAACCACTAACAAATGTTTATTGCCGAATATTCGTTGATTGTAATGTCTATTTGAATTCTTTATTTTGTAAAGAATGTCGTTAATCAAGACAAAGGGTTGTTTTTTGTCATTGAATTGTGGAGGGGGGTTTGCCTTCAATTGTTGTATAATGTGGTTCAGCTTTGAATCCTTTTGTTGTTCCACTTTTATATCATCTAGGATGTTTGTATTTTCCCAGACGTTTATTAACACATCAATAGCTGCTATTTCAGGTATCTTTGAATCGGTGATTGAGGCTTGATGAGAAAAGTCTGGTTTCGGTTCAGTTCTGGGTTGTATTAAGGTTGATTTGGTTTCAAATTGTTCGGAGGTTCTATCTACTGGGTTCCTGGACAGAGAATCTGCATTTCCGTTTGAGATTCCTGGACGATATTGAATACTTTCAATTTGGAAAGCCGATAGTTTCATGGCCCATCTGGCGAGTCGTCCGCTTACATCTTTAGCGTTCTTCATCCATTGTAGCGCTTTACAATCGGATCGAATATAAATCTTTGTTCCTTCTAAATATGGACGGAAATGTTGAGTTGCCCATACTATTGCTAAAGCTTCTCGTTCAGTTGCACTATAATTTCGTTCAGATGTTGATAGTGTTCGACTTGCATAGGCGATAACAAATTTTCGTTTATCATATTCTTGTGCAAGTACTGCACCAAGTCCATATTCACAAGCATCTAGTTCAAGGATAAATGGTTCATTAAAATTTGGAGTAGCCATAATGGGAGCGCTTGTTAATTTCTTCTTCAGTGTTTCAAAAGCAAGAGTGCAATCAGTGGACCAATTCAAATGATAGTTCTTGTCTTTTAGTTGGCGTAGTTGTTTTAAAAGTGGTTCTGCCGTCTTGGCGTAATCTTTAATAAATCGTCGGTAATATCCACTTAATCCTAGAAATGATTGGATATCTCTTATGGTTCTTGGTTGAGGAAATTCCGTAACAGCCTTTGTTAAAGTAGGATCGGGTTTAATGCCATCTTGGGTAATTATATGCCCTAAATACTTCATTTCTTTTCTGCAAAAGCAGCATTTAGACCTTTTGAGTGTTAAATTAGCTTCTCGTAAGGCTTGTAATACATTTCTTAAATCGATCAGGTGTTGTTCGAAAGTTGGTGAATAAATAACTATGTCATCTATATATACCAGACAGCTTTGCCATTTCAAACCTGCCAGGACGATATCCATTAATCGTTGAAAAGTCGCAGGAGCATTTGTTAATCCATACGGCATGACAGTGAATTCGTACAGACCTTTATGGGTTATAAATGCTGTTTTTGTTTTCGATTCTTTTTCCATCTCTACTTGCCAATATCCGGACCGTAGATCTAACGTGGTAATATATCTTGCCTCCTGGAGCGCATCGAGGGTATCATCGATTCTTGGTATGGGATATGCGTCTCTAGTGGTAATGGAGTTAAGTTTACGGTAATCCACGCAGAATCGTATAGAACCGTCTTTCTTCGGGGCCAGAACAACTGGTGAAGCCCATGGGCTTTTGGAGGATTCGATTATTCCTTGTTCTTTCATTTCCATTATATTCTGTTCGATAATTTTTCGCTTCGCCGGGGAGTAACGATATGGTGGTGAATTGTATGGCTTCGAACCAGGTATCAACTCAATTTGATGTCGTAAAACCTTCGTTCGACCACTCTTCTCGGTGAACACATCGGGAAAGGAGGTTAATAGACGCTTCATTTGATTCTTCTGCGATTCCGTTAAGTTCGCGTCATTCAAATCAAAATCCTTTGCAGCTGTTAGCGTGGATCGATCTGACACATTGTCTATTTGATGTAACGTATTGCTTTGAATATCATTAAGACGTGCCATGGAAGCTAAAGCTTGCTTTGGTTGAATGACGATTGTATTTTTTGAAAGATTCGCGACTTGAATACTCATAGACTTGCGAAGTTCAATAATACCATTCGCTACACAAGGGTTATGTTTGAGCGTTGCTATTTCATATGGCATTGATTCTTCGTGCCTCTTCGGAATATCTTTATCTGGTTTCACTTGGACATACATAACATGGTAAGCTGGAATTTTAACGCATTCATTTGCAAGTAATGTATATTGCTCGGGTTTTTCTTGTGGGTGTTCTAAATTTCGCTGACCATCTTGCCAATAGACTTTTTGAGTTCCACCGTCTATCTGGAGGTTGTGTTTTTGAATAAAATCATTTCCGATAATACAAGGTCGCCACAATTGAGGTACTAAATATACTACGTGCTTCAATGTGCGATTAGCGACTGTAATTGGGATTAAGAGGGATTTTTGCACATGCAAGCTGGATTTGTC